GAAAAAGCAACGTGGTGATAGTGCAGCAGATCCTGTGGCAAGGGTCTAGTGATGCCATGCTAATTTTGAGATATGTAACATTAGCAAAGGGCCTCCTTCAAAGCATTAGGTGGCACTTCCTAAAGTTCATGGATCACGAGATGCATCTAAAAGCATCTTGACTGCAGGACCAACCCCTGAAGACGACTCTTTCAAGATATAACCCAAATGAATATCAACTGCTTTAAACACTGAACAGGTAGACTTCAGTCTATCAAGATATCAATTGATCCATTGAAATTCAGTGAACCTATCCTTATGATCAATGGTGGTATTCTACTGGTTTGGCCCGGTTCTGCCCAGCTGGTAGAGCTGATGAGCAGCGGATACCAAACCGGTTCTCTCCGACACTCTGCTGTTGGGCCCACCCGCCCGCCAGGGCTCCCATACTAACCTTTATTCCCTGTTTTGTAAGCGCAGCTGCTTTGCGCGGCACAGCAGATTGCCACGTGGAAGCTGCTGAAGTGACAGGGAGAGTGCAGGATTGCAGGAGGTGAGTCAGCAAGCCTCTGCGCCTGTGCCAAGTGCACATTTGGTGCATGCACACACATGCAAAGTGTGTGCGTGCATGCAAAGCATGCCCACCAAGCCACACCCACTGAACCAATGGTAAAAATATTTGAAATGCACCACTGCTTATGATACTATCTATCCAATTTTAGCAAGCATTTGCAGATTTAAAATAATCCTGTAAATATTGTAATGAAATATTTCTAAAATTCCTTTAGTGATCCTCAGCTCTCATTATAGAACCATAGCATGAAAAGTTGCTTGAAAGGAAAAAAATGTTAAGTCTGTAGGCTGAAAAGGATTTTCTACTTCATCACAGCTTTTTCTCTGTCCAGAAAAGAGAAAAAAAAAAATAGAGCATATTATGATTGGCTTAAAATAATGTCCTTTATTTCATTTCCTGATATGCTTATCAGAATGCAGCAAGGATTTTATTAGGCACAGTGTTTATCTACAGCATATGCAGATCTTGGTTTTGTTAGTGAAGACCAACAAACCTTTATGAAAATGAATTGCATATCAAGATATTTATGCCAATAAAGTAATATGTTTTAATAGGTTCCTTGGTTTTGTTTAATCTCCACTGCCTATTGCTTAAAAAAGAGGAAACTATTCTATTATCTCTCCCACTTTGGTCCTTAACTAACCATGCTAACTATCTGACTTCCATTTGTTCCAATTATATTGCCATATCTCATTTACTTTGCATTCATTCTGTTCAATGATAATTGATTTCAAGGCTCAGTCCAGCCTATTTCAGAAGTTCATTCTAAGTTCATTAGACTGCACTGATTGCATTCTCAAACATTAGCAGGTGGTATTTTGCCAAACTAAGTATTTTTTTTCTGATAGTACTTCTTGCCAGTTTACTTTCTTTTCTGCCAAGGACTTCAGTAAGATCTGGATCTGATTTATTCAAACAGCAATAACACCCTGGTTTTGTTTCATAACTGCAGCTCCACAGGAGCTACAGAACCTATTGCTGTAATTAAGAGAAAATCAACCATTTTACCTTAATTAGTTTGTACAGAAAAAAAATGTGATAGAAAAAGTATACCCTCGGGACTTTGGTTATCCCAAAAGTGACAATAAATGGATGACGGTAAATGGATCAAAAATAAAGTCATGTTGTCCAAAATGTTGTTACATGGAAATGTTCTAGAAAGGAATGTGAAATAAAGATATCTATAGCACTGTTACATGATTTTAGTCCTAGGGAGCACTATATTGAAATGTATCTGTAACTTTCTATTCTTATTCAACTTTCCCAGTGAATGTTCTTTGATAAGAATGAAACTGCTGGAAATAGAACATGGAAGTTGGCAGTATCATACAGTTCTAAATCACTTCCCTTTCCTATTCACATTACATTTTTAAAATGTTCTTACAGCCTATCATTTTGACTGCTTCTATAGTTCTTGTTCATTTGCTATATCCAATTTATAAATACTTGCATATAGAATGTCAAGATGCCAATGCCAGAATTGTGAAATTGTCGTATGAATGAATAATCAATCAGCTTTATTTAGCCTTGCTAATTTATTACATCCAGTAATTAGCTTTATTGTTTGGCTAAGTTCAGAAGTTGCATTAAATAATAATTTCTTTTAATTGTATACACCACAGTTAAGAATTAGTGTGACATGTGGATCCAGCAGCTTTAAGTGATCAAACTCAATATCTTCCTTTGGGTTTTCCCTCTCAAGGATTTATCTTTGAATCATGATAAAAAATTTCCCATTATTGATTATACTTTTAATCTACCAAATAATCCATATTTCCTCAGAAGAGTATAACATTAATTAAAAATAATAAAACAGAAAAATAATTGCAAACCAATATTTTATTTAAAAGCAATTGTCCATTTCTGAACTTTTTTGCAACTGAATCTTGTGGTGAGATGAATGGCAAACAAACTTAATAAATAAAATATTATTTTTCTTAAAAGTTTAGTGATATCGGCCATACTTTTTAACCTGGCTTTTACCTCAAATAAAGTTCTGGAAATGATATCTATTGTATTCTTGTATACTGGAATCAGTGGTGGGATTCAGCCGGTTCGCATCTATTTGGAAGAACCATTTGTTAACTTTCTGAGCAGTTTGGAGAACCGGTTGTTGAAGAAATCTCCTTCCAACAGCCTTTTGGGTTTTTTTTTCCACTTTACAGTGCTAATCCTGTCAGGAAGGCAGGAAGGAAACATTCTGGTGTGCCTCTGTGTTGTTTCTAGCCTAATCCCTATCTTTATTGCCCTGCTTACAGAAACTGCCTTTCCGATTTAGCCTTATTACATTGTAATAGCTAATGGGGCTTGACTTTCTTAAAGACTTTTTACACTGCTTTAGTGGTTCCTGGCACTGTGCTTTTGGAGTGTACTTCCAAGAGGTAGGATGTAGGCTTGGCACTCTGTTTTTTTTTTTTTTTACTGTCTTTCTGGGGGCATGTTATCTTTCCTTAAATCTGGATTATTTCCTTAGGATGTCTTGTGAGGTGAGTGAGACCAGCTGATATCTTTAAGTGGTGCAACTTAATCTAAGGATTGCTTCTCCTGAGTGGGAAAGGGTCCTGGGTGGGAAAGAGTGTCAGTTCATTGAGCACAGGAGTCTGTTGTCTATGGGGATTCTTCAGTCATCCAGGTCATGGTTGTCTCAAAGGTGCTTTTTCTCAAGAGGCAACTGGACTTTCTTGATTTCCAGAAAGTCCAGTTGCCTCTTGAAAAAGCACTTTTGGGACAGGAATCTCTTGCATTTCTTTGGAGTGGCCAAAGCACATAATTGCTCACTGATAGTAATTTTTTTATTAAAAAAAAGGAGGTAGGGATATGGATCCTCCAATTCATTTTAGTTTTCTCTTATGATAACAAGGCTTAGTGTCAGATCCATGTATCTGTCATTTCTTCGGTGGAAGAAGAAAAGGGGGGGGGGACTGCTAAAGAAATCCTTTCTTGATGTAACCTGAATATATTTAATCTTATATCAAATTTGTATAACCTACACATGATACAATGAAGGGAGGAAACCCAGATGGCCGGAACCTATCACCTCTGAGAGGCACAGCCAGGAGATGAGAAGATAATAAAAATTCCACAGTGAGATGTGTCCTGGGAACCTCTGGAAAAGTTCGTTCTAAAAAGGGGGTGGGGGGAAATTAGGTATGCCCTGGGAAACTGTGAGAAAGATCGTTCCTTACAAAAGGGGTGGGGGGGAATTAACACACTGGCTTTTGTTTCACTAAATACACATCGAGATAAGGGGAGGGGTTCTAAACTCCCTTATCTCTCCCTGTATGCCTGAGAGACCTTAGACGCTGCTTTGAACTCCTATATGAATTGTCTCATCTCAATAAAGGATTCCTTTTGATATGTTTGGGTTTCAGAAGTTCATTCTTGTTAATTGAATGTGAAAAAGTTCTGTAGCCTGACACTTAGTAACATGGCACTGGGCTTGAAGTTTATATCTGTGGCATGTACTAATTTTATTGTAATCCTGACAAGCTTGGGAGACTTGAACCTGGATCCCCTATATACTTTGTTAATTTGTCTCTTTAGCTTGGCATTTTGTAGCCAAGTGTGCCCACCCACTTTCTGGAGAGCTTAAATGACCTCTCTGCTAAAGGGTTTCACCTTATGAGCAAGAGCTGCCAGCTGATAGCTACCATTGCATTTTAACTATTTTAATTCCTCAAAGTTCTCTGGCACCCTGGCTAATTTATAACTCAGGGTTGCAGGTATTTTTAATCTAATGATTGGTATTTAGGGCAGCTTTTTTCAAGCAAAGAAGCTTTTTGTATTTTTGTACAGATACTTGATTTCCAACAGTTCATTTAGTGACTATTCAAAGTTACAATGGCATTGAAAAGTGACTTATGACTGTTTTTCACACTTACAACCATTGCAACATCCCTACAGACATGAGAGGCCAGGTGAAGTGAAGTGCCCCTTGATGTGAGTGGCATCAAGTTGGCCACACCCACCTAGTCACATTACCACCCAGCCACACTTACCCAGCTGGTCATTAAGGCAGAGAATTGGTTGTTAAATTATTTAAATCCCACCACTACGGGAATACGTTGTACTTTCAAGAGTCCTTACAATGAGATTACAGACATTGATGGTCCTTTACTACAAGAAACAAACAAAACATCATTCTGAATGCAGGGAGCATGATTAATTGGGTAGCATCAAAGTCCCCCTGAATAGACACAGATGCTTTGCAGCTTCATATCTTGGAGGATTGGCAATGCAGATGGTCATTCATCACAATGAGAATTTTATAAACATGTTGGCTAGAAGTGTGTTTCTAAATAGAAAACACAATAAAGGCTTCAGAAAATAAATGGAAAAGAAACCAGATCATGCTTGGTTTGAAACAAAAATCAGACAATAGGCTAAAATTGCCATTACAAGCTCTTTCTCCTTGTTATGTCTTCACTAATTCTCTTTTCTTTGGCAGGTGACTTTCAGCAAGTATTGCAACTCTTCAGATCTTATGGAGCTCTTCTGCATTGCTACAGGATTACCAAGGTAAAAATATTTTCTGAAGACTATTTACGTGAACTACTAAAATTAAATTTCTCCTATCCATGAGTATAAAGAATATAGAAAAATATCATTATGAAATATGGAAAATATCATGTAAGCATATTTATGTATTTTAAACAATGCAAATATTGCTTTTTCATTTTTTCTTAAAAATTGGACCTATAAGCAATAACCCATGCACACTATAAAAATTATTAAAGAAAATGAGAGGCCACCAGATTTCATCACCAATTAAAAATCCAGAATTCTAGGTTTCTATGCTACTGAATTAAAATCCTTACAACTCTGTAAAGAAAGTCAACATTTTTCATCTTCCTTTTTTACATATGGGATTAAGTTTAAAAGAAATGAGAAATGGGTATTTATGGATTCATATTAGAGTCTTTTTAGCTTCTGTGGTGCATTAGCTCTGATAAGTATGAACCTATTGCTTTACCTCGCATCATTATGTTAAAAATGGAAAGGGTGTAAAACTTCTGTATTGATATTTGAATTCTGCCTTAGGCTTTATTCACATATGATAGGCATAAACAACTCATAAATATTCACTGTATTGAAAATTAATATAAAACCAAATTGGCTTGTGTAACCATGCACTTTGCACATTACCCATGTAGTTTCAGTCCCTGATGGTTGTTGCTTCAGCAGCTGTCAGCCAGGGAATTCACCTCTGCTGAGTTTTCCTCATGGTTGATTTTGAGGTTTGGTCATCTAGCTAAAATTGAATTATAATTTAGATTAAAGATTCACTTCAGATGTTCATTTTAATCGTTCATGGTTTTCATAAGTGGTAAATAATATTGAAAAGGTTAGCTGGCTAAAGATTGTTTTTCTAATGGTGCTCTTAAGACAGGAGTGTCAAACTCAAGGCCCGTGTGACAGATCTGGCCCACGGGGTGCTTAATTCTGGCCTGCAGGGCAGCCATGGAAATGGAGAAGGACCAGCCCATGGTGGAGCCGTTTTTGCTGGCAGAGGGCTTCAGGAGGCCGTCCAGGCCGAAAACAGTGCCCGGGGATGTCACAGGCAGCCCCCCCCCCCCCTGGGCTCCATTTTCGCTGGCAGAGGGCTTGCAAAACAAACTAAAAGCAAAACAAAACAAAAGGAGAAATGTTTCCCATTTTGCATTTGAGAATCCAAGAAGGTACAGGAAAGGAGAAAGGGAAAGAGGAAAGACACAGCAAAAGAAGGGAAGATGGGAAGACAGCAAGGAAGGAAAAAGAAGGAAATGAAGGGAGGGGAGAGAGGGAAGTCCTGCCTTAGCACTTGGCCACCAGCAGATGGCAAGGCTCTTCTGGAGGATAAAGGTTTGGCACTCTCCCTGATCTCACCTTCCTCTGCTGGAGACAATGGATCCCCCCAGCCCTGCCTGGACCACCACAGGTGCCCCCAACACGAGTGATGTTGAGCTGGCCACGCCCACCCTGACCATGCACACCTGCCCCCCCCCCCAAGGTTAAACACAATCCAGCCCTTAATGAAATCAAGTTTGACACCCCTGTCTTAAGACATATACTATTCACATTTGCAACAGGCACTTGTCTCATTTCATCTATATGCAATTGCTATCCTAGTAATGCATGTACCTCATAAATCTCTGCAGTACCCTTAAGCCAACATGTTTTGTTCTTGGTGCTGTCTATGACTACTCACTTTTACTTAATGTAGATCAAAGAATGTCAACACTCTGGACTATTGAAGCCTTCTTTTTCATTGCCACATAAGTTTAATTTAACAATCTAAAGAACTCATACATGGCTGATAAAAGCATCTTTCTCAACACACGCACGCACGCACTCACACACACACACACACACACACACAATTAACTTTCTTAATTTTCAGGTCAGAAATAAAGCTCTAACTGCCTACCCTGAAAAATAGTATTTCTGGTGTTGGAAGAAATGTCCATCTGGGTTCAGTTCCAAGTGGGAAGAAAGACACTGGAAAAATGGAGACTACTTGGAAGGATGGTTTAATGGTGGACAGGACCACATGGTTTTGAGGTCCTGGGAAAAAGAGAGCACATGGTTGAGAGAGGGAGAGAGATTTATTCCCTCTGTTGGGCTTTGAACTTGCTTCCTGTTCCTGTGGCAAGAAATGTATCCTGATTAGTTGTCAGACTCCCATGGGGCCATGCAGGGGTAACTTTGTAGGTTGACTTGAGTCTCAGGCTTGGTTGAATCTTGCTGGGTGATGTAATCTTCCCAGGTACCATGTGGTGAGATGGGTAGAGGTCTAATCTTATTATGTCCCGAGAGTAAAGGTCTTTTGTGTTATGGATAAGCTGGCCCAGCCTTTTGTCTTGTAGATAGAATGGCCCAGTCTTTCTGGGGCTGTTAACAAAGGTGTGGGCTGCTTTCCAGGAACATGTTTCTCCTTTTCTCATCCAGGAAGATATAATATTCTGCCTTTTAATATTTCCTAGAATATTTATTTCTTCTAGGAGAGGGTGCTAATTTTCTACACTGGCATATATGTGCATTTGCAGAGAAATTACCAAAAATGCTTCAAGATGCTCCTCTGAAGAGCTCTTGCAAACCAGCAGTTTTGATTCCAGGTAGACCAGGTAAATGAAAGCAGTATAGGGAACTGTACTTGTTATGTTTTTTTTCTAATCCATTCAATCTGTGAGCATTCTGTTACTTGAAACACTAAAATAATAATATAATCAATTGATTTAAAATAATGTAGGGAAATTATAATAAAAACACATAAAAGATTATCTCAGTATAATATCGGTACTTAAAAGTAATTGAAAATATCTGGGAAAGAAAAGTCTTTTCTTCTAACTGGAAAAGATTCTGGATTTTTATGCTTGCTGGTATTACATGTCAACTAAAAACAGGCTTTTACTCCTGTAAATAAGTGTCTAATAAAGGCATCTTACAACATTTCAAACTTTTAAAATATCATAAAATGTAATGCAAAACCATGCATTTCTTTAGATCTTAGGGTAATATAAAAACCTTTCATATTTTACCATCTGGACTGCTTTCAAAGGAAAGTAAACAGATTCATGCAGAGATATATCATCAACCATATCCGTTGCTTCAGAACATTAGCAGAATTGCATGCATTTCCTTCTTGAGGGAGCAGTAAGAATACAGATCTGTTTCATAACGTTATAATTAACTATCTGAATATAAAGAAGTGAATTATCTGACTATTACAGCTAAGAGATGAAAAAGTGAGTGTATTGTTGTATCATATTTTAACTGAATCATCATTTTCATTTGTATGAATAACAGGGTTCCAATTAACAGTGAGATAATGCACGCAATGAATATGTGATGCAATACCATGAATATTTCTGAAGTCATTTCAGGTGCAGAAAATGCAATTCAATCTACATTTATTAAGAAAAAGTGTGTCCATTTTAGACCCACATGGCACTAGGGTGTATGTCCAAAACAATAAGATTGCAGTTATACTTTCTTTTTATTCTCCCTCAGATGCTCCTGCAAAAATCCTAGGCCATTTCTCTATCTGTTCAGCTGAAATCTATATGCATACATCTGTATATTCATTTTCTGCTGAATGTTCAGAGGATACACAAACAATAGTGGGGGTACCCCAAAATTATGATTACACTTTCCACTGCAACATAAGGTATTTATTAAATACGCCAGCCTTTCCTAACCTGGAATTCAGCAATCATATTCTGCCATTTTTGTTTTGACACTCTCCTTCTCTTAAATGATTGTAGTTCTTTGTCTCTTTAAGAAGGCACTAACTGTTTAAACTACCTGTCAAACTTCCCATTTAAAACATGAGATGTTGGGTTCTAACCTGGTTAAATAAAAGCTGAGTTCTAACCTGGTTAAATAAACCTAGCTTTAAACTTTGTCTTCCAGGAATACAACTATTTCACTCTTCACTGCTGATGACTGCATAGTATCCATTGATCCCACTATGCCAACCAATTCTGAAAGGCAGGTATATCTTATTATGGTTGAAGCTAGCTTTGCAGAGTGGAGTTTTTCACTCACCAGTTCTTTTGTATAGGAATACAAAAAAACATCTGGTGAGTGAAAAACTTCACTAATGGGAAACAGCAAAAATTACTATAACAAGTCTAAAGACCCATTTAAACTCAAAACTTATTTTAGTTTTAAGTATTAAAACTAATACTTTATTATTAAAGTATATGGAGTTTTATCTGGGGAGGGAAAACCATTCCACAAAGTATTAGCTTATATAAAAACAAAACATCTGACTTTCTCTGAGGCTTACAATGAGATTACAGACATTGATGGTCCTTTACTACAAGAAACAAACAAAACATCATTCTGAATGCAGGGAGTTTGGGATATGTATATTAATTAGTGGTCAGAAGCTAAGGCTCTCCTATTCCCCAAACTTCTCTTCTTTTCCCAGAACTTCTCTGTTTCTGGTATAATTTCCCATCACAGCTGTTTACACTGAAAGTCACTTTTACCCTTCACACTGTACTCCTCCCAGCCTCAAGCAGACATACACTATTATGTTCCATTAAAGTTTGCAGAATTATATATATGATTAACATGGTCTGATCATAGTCAAGATCTCCTGACTTTATTGAAGGCGAGCAGTTAAACTTTCTTCACTTAAATAATAAGCTCCTGTAGCAACCTTTTGTTTTGCAACATATTATTTAAGTCGGTTTCTAACTGTATATCTTGCCTTTTCTTCAGAAGACCGAGGGATGTGCATAGTACTCCGTGCTTTTTCCTCACAATAGTATTAATCATTTAGTAGCAGAAATAATGTAAGGGTTTTTTTTTCCTTCTTGTAGGACACCTTACAAAGTAATACCTGTGGCCACTGGACAGCAAACAGGTAAATTATATTTTAAACTGAAATAATTTTAAACCCGTATTGTAATATCGTATTGAAATTATATTTGAATTTCACTGATACAATACTCCAATCAGAATTGAAAATAAATTTACTGGGCATCTATGGAGATTCTCAGTCACCTGGGTCATGGTTGTCTGAAAGGTGCTTTTTTTTTAAAGGCAACTGGACTTTCTGGAATTTCTTTTAAGATATTTGCTTGGATGAGAAGCAAAACGTCTTCAAAGAAAAACAAGAAAGTCCAGTTGCCTCTTGAAAAAACACTTTTGGGGAAATTTTCTGGGCATTTGAAGCCCACTAATTTTAATAAGATAAACCCACTCTTGAGGTAGCATAACTGTCCCATAGGATATATCATTTTACAATTTCAATATTATTTTCATGTAGTTGACTCCTCTGTTTGACACACTTATTTGCCACAACACTTAAATTCTACAATGTACTTACATCTTTAATTATATTAAAGCAGGCCCACCATTCTGATACAACTTGAAAAAGTGCAAATTACTTGCAAAGAGAATCAACAATAACCAATTGTTTACATTCTTGTTCATCTTACAGCCCCAACAAGGTTCCGCTACTTAGGACATATCTACCAGTAGAATACATTCTCTCTCTTCTCTGTAGCCTTCTGTGTCTCTCCAAAATTTATTGGTCTTTTACTGGAGTTTGACATGCTATAGTGGGTCTTCCCATGGGAATAACAACAAAGAGACATAATATGAACAGAAATTAGTTGTCACTCTATATTTTGAACCCAAGTATAAAATATTTGCTTGAAAATTCAGACAAAGGAGAAATTCTCAAACAATTGCTCACAAAAACAGTGAGCCAGTAACACTGCTGTGCTGCTGCTGCTACCAGGGGTGGGATTCTACTGGTTCTGTCCACTTGTTCTGTCCACTGGTTGTTCTGAAAAGAAGCAGAGAGCATACATAGAACCGGTTCTATGTCTGCTGCTGTTTTGGCCCACCCACCTGCCCGGGTTCTTACCTGACCTTTATTTCATCCGTTTTCAACTGCAGCTGCTTTGTGCAACACAGCTGTAATTGAAAAAGCAGGAAAAAAAGGGCTTTTTCAACCGCTGTGCACCCGCACACAGCTCTGCTCAGCTGTCCAGGCAGCTAGATGATGATGATATACACACATGCACAAAATGTAAAATCACCGAACTGGTAGTTACACCGGTCGGATCCCACCCCTGGCTGCTGCTGCTCTTCCTCCTCCTCCTCCTCCTCCTCCTCCTACTACTACTACTACTACTACTACTATTACTACTACTATAATTTCTTGGGAAGAACAATCCCTTCATTATCCCTTTCCTTAGAATTTAACGGAAGGATGGGAAACCAGAAGATATGGGTTGCTGAAGAGATTATTACAACTCGCTACCTATGTAAATGTATATATAAGAATATGAGTTTCTTACAACATTTGCTTCTCTTTCAGAAGGTTTGTTGGGAAAATATTTTTATATAAAACTGAAAGTGAACTGACTAAAAAAAGGATTAAGAATTCTGACTTTGCCCATTCAATGGCAAAATACACTTGTAGATAATAGACTTACTTTCTCATTGTTTGCTTTTTCTACATCTGATCAGCTAAAAAGTATGAGCTGATTCTTTTTCTTTAGGCAAATGTGTTTTAAAGACCCATGATACAAGGTGGATGTAAAGTTATCAAGTTACTGTCAGGAGCAAAACAAAAGCCAAGTGATCTCCAGAGGCATGACTAAGAATGTTGGATCAGCACAAATTTATACAGCTGCCCTAGGATGAAGTTCATATAAAATACAAGCCAATTTATGCACTTGGTAAATATGACTTCAGAAGAATCCCAAGGAGTTTGCTGAATATTAAGGATATGTCCTATTAAATTTGTATTTATGTCAAATTTGTAATGTGCCACCAAGACTATATTGTTTAATTATATAGTGACATAGTTCTTGGAATTTTTTTTTTTTTGAAGTGTTCTGGCAGCAAACCCTTTTTCCTAATGTTTTGGCCGAGACACAGCTGTGTTGCTAAGGGGAAAAAATCAAGAATTGTTTCATTGGCTTCTTTCCTGATTGTTGCTGTAAAATTGACACTGATAGGAATCCTTTATTCTTAATTAAACTTTCACTGATTGCTAAGAGCTGTCTGGGCAAATCACCTTGCCATGTTGCCTTTTGCTCGTCTAATTATGTCATTCTTCCACATGATTTTTGCTGATGGACCTTGTGGCCATTGTTTGCGTCAAGATCTAAGCCACTCTTTTGTTCCCAGGTGTTCTGGGGACAAAAGAGGGCTTTTGGATTTTTATATATCTAGCGCTGAGATATTATGCTTCCCTGGGACAATTTATTATAACAATATAACAATATTATAACAACCCATGGAATACTACTTATATGACTGTCAACACTCTAAGCTAAGAGAGAGCTCTTGAGAGAATAGATGAGGGTTTTTTCCCCTAGAATTTAAGAAAAATAAGTACTTGAGCCAGTTCCAGGATGAGTTGAGAGTAGTTCAGCCAGCACTTCAGGACAGATTTAAGCAAATATTGTTAGTATTTCTAACTGGAGGGAAAGATTCAAATGTTTCAGCACTTCCATGGTCCAGTTTCCTTTGAAGGGACATCATAGGATACTAATAGTGTCTTATTTACAAACATTCATGCTGACAATTGAGGGGCAAATGACATAGCTGAAGCTGTATATCTAAATAACTTCTAAATGCCCTATGCCAGGGGTGTCAAACTCACATCGTCATGGTTGCATCACGTGACATATCAGGACTTTTCCCCCCTTCGCTAAACCAGGTGTGGGCATGGCCAGCATATGATGCCCCCAGCCCGTGGGCTGGGAGTTTGCCCTAAGCCTTGTGTGGCTCCACACTCAGTATCACTGTTCTGATTCAGGCTCTGTCTTTCCAAATGACAAGCATTTTACATGTGGGTGGGAACATCTGAATTATCTCACTTCCTTGGGAAGGGAGAAGGAGAAGTGGAAGAACATAAAGCGTGCTGACTTCTAGTCCTGCTACACAATACTTACAACATGTCTGCTGCTAACCACACTGTCAAAGGTGAAACAATAGCTGAGAGCTAGACTTCAACAGGTCAGTAAAATACCTATTTATCTGATTATTCTTACCTTTTCACCCTCTTTTCAAACAGTTGCTTTGTTTGGTTTGAGTTCTTACACAAATGTCTAGAAATTAGTCCAAGGCCCTTATGAAATTAAATGACCCTAAGACTGCAAATTTCTAATTGAGAAATTGTTCCAAGAAAGGGCATTTCAGCAGGAGTTGTCTTATTTATGCAAAAGATAACACTTTTGCCCAGATTCTCTTTCCAAACGCTATAAAAGAAAAATTAAAAAATCCAAACCCCGCCGGATCTTCCTCTCAAGCTGATCACCCTAAGCATAGGAAACTACTGTACCTCTATAGTGAATAAATATGGAAAAGGAAATAGGGGCATCTATTTTTCTTTCTGATATTCATGCACAATCCTGTCCTATTGACTCATCATGTAAGACAGTTCAAGAATGCAATGATTTTTCATGATTATAAATATCTGCATTGTGCTGTTTAAATACTTCCTTTAGTGTGATCTTTCCTGGCATTTTGGAATGACAAATTTGGGTGCACAGGGAGGAAGCCACAACAAGCCATCTAACAAGGTATTTTCTGACATTAGTAACAGTTCTCCAATGTTCTAAGGTCGTCCCCTCCCCCAATAATTTCCCTTAATCATTTAAAATGAATTAAATGCAGGGAATTAAAATGTAGTATAAGCGGCAGGAATACATTCTCATGTTTTTATATAGCTCCTGCTCTGATTGTAACAGAATGCATTCATGAACCACACAATAGATTTTAGTTTGTTGCATTCACATCCACTGGTTTCCTGGCCAAATCTAAGGCTGAGATAATGTGACTTAAGCAAAGAGGTTAAATAAACTTCTTTGTTCTCACACTGCAGGTGTTGCATCCACAGCATGAGCCAATGTAGAATATCATGTACTCATCCTGGGAAGGGCTTCCATTGACGTCAGGCTAGGGACCTTGTGGAGTGCATAGCACACAGTTGAAGAGCAACTAAATTCAAGGCAGTCAGAGGGAAAACACTGCATCTGTTACCTATTAGTAATTTCTGCATTTTTCTCAAGGATACTGAAGGGTGGGGGAAGAATCTGGTTTCCATCCCTAATCCCCAGGTTTGAAAACAATTCCAACAATAAAAAACAATCCCTCAACCAACCCACACACTCCCACAACAAACACTTCACCTCAGGGGTGGGATTCACTTTTTTTAACAACCAGTTCTGTGGGCTTGGCTTAGTTGGTGGCCATGGCTTGGTGGTCATGTGACTGGCTGGGCGTGGCCAACTCAACACCACTCACATTCAGGGACACTTCTCCTTGCCTGGCCTCTCATGACTGTGGGGACGCTGCAACAGTTGTAAGTGTGAAAAACGATCTCAAGTCACTTTTTTCAGTGCCATTGTAATTTGGAATGGTCACTAAATGAACTGTTGTAAGTCAAGGATTACCTGTACAAAATACAAAAGGCTTCTTTGCTTGCAAAAAGCTGCCCTAAATACCAATCATTAGATTAAAAATACCTGCAAGTCAGAGTTACAAATCAGGCAGGGTGCCAGAGCACCTTGAGGAATGAAAATAGATAAAATGCAATGATAACTATCAGCAGCCAACTCTTGCTCATAAAGTGAAACCCTTTAGCAGAGAGGTCATTTAAGCTTTCCAGAAAGTGAACACCCAGGAAAAGCAATCCTTAGATCCATTTGCACCACTTAAAGACACCACTGGTCTCACTCACCTCACAAGATAAGGAAATCATCCAGATTTAAGGAAAGATCACATGTCCCCCCAGAAAGGCAGTAAAAAAATCAGTGCCAAGCTTGCATCCTGCCTCTTGGAAGTACACCCCAAAAGGACAGTGTCAGATACTACTAAAGCAGTGAAGGAAGACCCCGCTCCCCAGATAGAAAAAAGAAACCATGAGACAGGAAAAATTCAAATACAATACAAATAATTAAATCACAACAGTAGCTGTTGCTTGTTAATCCAATTACCAGAACAAATAGACACAGGAACTAGCCAGATTTCTCAACCCAGTTTCTTTTCAGGAACAGAGATTAATCTTTTTCCATCCAAACAAAGCTGAGTAGGGAAAATTATCCCATCAATAAACACAGGATTAAACATCACCAAGCACAGAATTAAATTCACCAAAAACCAGTTTTAGACCAAAACTCAGAAAGGGTATATAAACTCACGTTTGAATGTCAATCTTTCTAGCTAGCTAGAAAGCTAGTTCTAGATTGCTGAATGTCACTCATCTTGATTCCTTGTCATTAAAAGCTTCGTTCTGGCAGCTCTGCTTTGTTATTCAATTATTTCTTTAAAGTGCTAACTCCAACAGGGGAGTATTTCCTCCCAACATCAGTGTAAAAAACTTAAAACAACTCTTCCCCTTTAAGAAAGTCAAGCTGTCAAGTTTCCAAGTGAAATGGCTATACATATGTCAATTTCAGGCTCTGCACAAGCAAAGTACCAGCAAAGGAGGAGAAAAAAAACTCCAGAGAAGCTCCAGAAACAGGAAGTCTAGTCCTGCCAAGAATGTACTAAGGGTTAACGGAGAGTCAGTTTCTGTAAGCAACACCAGAATGTTTCCTTCCTGCCTTGCTTACAGGATTAGGCCAGTAATTTCTTCTAACAACCGGTTCTTAGAATGTTATCAACTGGTTCTACCGAATAGGTGTGAACTGGTAGAATCCCACTCCTGCTTCACCTCCCAATGATCCTCACCTGACATGACCTCCCAA